TGCCAAAGCAGGACATTGACTCTATATCCTTGAATTTTCTGTGCACTTAGGCGTGCGAGATCGCTATCTGCAAACGATTTCCTCCAGAGTTTCCAGCTTTTGTTAACTTAAATTTTCAAGACCTGTGTAGTCCATCCAAGTCTATCTACTAACTTCTAAGCCTCTTCTACTCTAGCAATACTAATAGCATTTTGCAAGCTCGTTTTGGATTTTTTGACGTTTAAAGGGGATATATGTGCATTCCGCGCAAAATTCGTATACGTATGCGACAACTCTCACTGCACTTACTTTTTCGGGTCCATGTATCTTGAAATAAGTACTTAAGTACCTATTCGCTTTAGTGATATAATGACAATTTTGAAAATTTAAAAACAAAGTAAACCAACAATGCGTGCAAATCTTTCACATTACTTGAAAATTTGATGAGCAGTGCGAAATGTATGCAAGAACGTCCTAGCTGTTTGCAGATATCGATTGTCCTGTAAAGGTATTTACTCCATACAAATTTTAGGATAAACCAAGCGTTGTCTGAAAGTATTGTGCGATTCAGGAGTCTTCATGCACCATTTTGATCCGGAATATGCATTTTTTGCATTTACTATCTAAGCAGTTTAAAACTTTCCCTTGATTTGAGCCTTGACCTTGGACCGTCCGTGAAAAGTTCAAATTGTGCCAAACTAAATCTATTCTCGTCGGATTCGCTTTGCGTGAGTCGATTGTGTGGGTCTTGTGTTATTTATGCCGTGTTTCATAAATTCACGATTTGTTGGATTTATATTTGAACTTTTACCACACAGATACACTTATTCCTAGATCTGCTTGTTTCCGAAACCGAAGACTGCATTTGTATGCAGTTTAAGGCTTAATAGATTAAGCCCTCAACTGCATACCAATGCACCTTTAATGAAATTGGTTTAAGGATCCTTAAACCAACTTAAGTATGGGACGATTTACTATGCGTCCCGCAGTCTGTTGTATAAATCTTTTAATAAGACACGTGCTCTACCGGTTGTAATTTGTGTCTTGGTAATTTAAGTAGGGCCTCAACTCCAAATAGTAGATGTGGTTTACGTCACTTTATTAAGAAAAGAAGGCTTTGGGTCTTGTGCGCCCTCTTAATATCCCAAAAACACAAAAAAATCACAATAACAATATGTGCTATATAGCACCTAAGGCAAATGTAAAGTTAACATCAAAGGTATCTGTGAGCCAGTTGTAAACTGCCGCTATTGGTACAATTTATCACAGTTTCTCAACAAATCAGAAACCAGTTTGCATTCAAGTGTCTCGAAAGTATTTAAAAGGAACACCCAAATAGGGAGTCCTTTTCGCGCTCTGGTCCAGGTACTACAGTAGATGTAGGGGCTAGCCGGTCCCTAATATCAAAGCCTAGCACCTGAGAGCTACCGCAGCAATATTACGTATTTAACTACTGATGGCCATCTGATTGGCTGCCACACTGTTTGGAGCCACACCCATCCATATCATTATAATAATTGCGCCGCAATTTTTAAAGAGAATGGTTCTCAAATAATTGGTTTTCATGAATTTTCTTGACAACCTTACCTTTTGGGCTATATCGTGAACATCTCATATGGTAGTCTTCAGTTTTGAATTTACTTTTGTTGCTGAATATAAACTCCACGAAATTCAAACGTCAACTCTACAGGCTGATCGCTTTAGACAATACATTTATTGTCTTCACTTACGCATTGGTGATATGAGAAGAAAATAAATGATGCTTTTCAGTGGGTGTGAAATTGTCACGTTTTCAGTATTAGGCAACATCTGTCAAAGATGTCTGTAAAAGGCTTACTTGCTATCACGTTTGAAGAAGTTACCAATAACTCAGATATACTCGTGTGTTTCCTCATTTTCCATCTTTTAATGTTTCCAGGCGAAGACTTGCTTTCACATAATTCTCAGTTGTGGCTATCACTTGGTGTGTTTTTGCCCTAGTATATGCACGAATCCAGATAGATTTTTAAAAAAAATCTGAAAACATTGTGACGCTAGGTTGACAGCCACAGCACGAACGGTTGTACAGTTTCCTGCACTTCATAGAGTATCGAGTTTTTCGCCTACTTTCCGAAGTATTTTGTTACTGTGAGTATTCCTGATATTTCATTGCTTGAATCAGTTGAGCACATCTGTAGTTCGCGTCAGAAGTAAGTAATTAAGTGCAAATTTAAGCTTTGATTTTGACAAGAAATACCTTCTTAGACGGCACTATAATTATGAATAAACTTTGATCATACATTCGCTTTAATAATATACTCATTTGGTCACCTTATCTAGTCGTCAACTTTGTGAAATTCACGTTTTCACAGGTAATAGTGTTTGTTGCTCCTGACTGTCTTTCATTAGCATTCGTGTAAGGGATATACTCCGAACAGCACTTATTGCAGAAAATTGCATCAATGTGAATGCAACTTAGGAAAATCTGCCATTTACACATAGAATTGCCTATAACCTTGTATGTTTCATGCTCCTATAACTTGAATAGGTTTTACTTGAATGTTAAATATCATATTTATTTTATTTAATAATGTTTTTTAATTAATCCGAAAACTTCCTTCTGAATGCTAGACAAATAAGCATCTAGTTCTCACAGCCAATATGGGTAGTTTTTTTCATAGAATGCATGGGCTTTATATTATTATTTAAAATACCAGAGACACCTGCTGTATACTAAGTTTTTTTTTGAAAAAAACAACATTGATTGCTGGGCTGACTCACCCAAAATTCAGCACAATACTTTTTATGCATTATTTTGAGATTTTTTTAAGTATATGCATGTACTGTGGTTAATCAGTCCTATTCGGTGACATAGTTCCGTTTTTTTGTTGATATCTTCTGAATATTGGCGCACATTGCAACTTTAGATTTTTGATAAGAATCACTGTGGAATTAGCGCTATTTTTTCCCACTAATACTACTTTTTACACTAAGGGCCACGAGTACTGTCTAATTAAGTTAACCATCACGACGTATTCTTAACTTTGTAGTTTCATCATGTCCTGGGACGATACTTTGAAATCTATGACCAACTACAATGGTGTCACATCAGGCTGCATTGCTGGCTTGGATGGTTCCATTTGGGCATCTACAGCCGACTTTAAGGTAACTCATTTTATGCGATCTTATAATTCACTTATTAGCCAACTGCCGATGAAATCAAGAAAATAGTGAACTGTGCACAGAAGGGCACGAATGAAGGCCTAAACGTTGGGGGAAAGTCAATGCGGTGCATTAGGAGTGGCGATAACAACGTCAGCGCTCTCGGAACCACCCATGCCATGGATGTGGCGCTCACGAACAAGGCTGTCGTGATAGCTGCTAACAACGCACCCTCTAACGCGCCCGGAGTTAACCGGCTGCTTTGTGTGGCCTCAGCAGCCATTGCTTCCTACCTATCAAAAGCCGGCTACTAAATCTGTATTTTTAATAATTATTTGGATGAAATCTGTTGTTTGAAAAAAATACTATCTAATCATTAATTATAATTCTTTATATTTCTTGTGTTCTCTTGTCAAGAAAATGTGCTTCGGTGTCATGCCCAGTGGAGGCCTTCTAAATTAATCGGCATTTCGTTAATATTGCTCAATTCCTGCACCATTTCCCCGATAGATTCGAGTAAGGGACATTGGCGAAAGCTCCCCAGCTATTCAGTTGTTTGTGGTATTCGGACAGACAACTACACATTTGAGCACTCAAAGCTCTCGTGTGTGTTCAAAACTTGAAGAGACAACTGCCGGGACGTTAGCTCTGTAAGCTTTTTAGGACGTCATCACACTAATCTGTATGTCCCATTTGATGTGTGCGGCCTAATTGTGCAGATAGCTATTCATGATAGCAGACCGCAGTAGGAGATTTTCGCGGCAAATGTCATCGTTCGGCTGTTGATTACCGATGTAACGACGAAGATAAGCAAGACGCATAGCTGCGTGCTCCCAAAAGTTTTTGCATGCATTCATGCTCTTTATACGGCGCTAGGATGTTGCCTACTATATCTTGTTCGGGATCTTAATGAATTTTATCCTTTCGACAGCCCACAAGTGTAGCACAAGTGTGCCCCAGATTACTAAATCGCTGCTGTTACTTAAGTTTTCTCGTAATGTTGTGCATGGATGGATTAATATTTTTCGCTTTTAAACACAACTCCTGATTTTGACGCATCTTTTAAGATATTTGTTCGAATTTATGCGCACTCTAGTGTCTCAGAAACCGTGCGGTTTCTTCCATCTATGTACCCTTACTTTGTGAGGTTTGTAATGACCCCTTATAGAAAATTAATAAGCGCAGTCGTGAGTGTCTTGGGAACAATTCAAACGCAAATATGTTTCAAGCATATAGGTATGACTTTCAGTAATCCAAATACCCATACTGTCAACCAGTTAGCTTGAGAAAGTTGACTATCCCTACAGGAAGACTGGGAAAGAAGATACATATTTCTCGTTTCCTAGAAAAATCCTTTGAGCTTTATAAATACATGGTAATCATATTACAAGTATTACCATGCAAATCCTTTTTGCTTTAAGGGTGCAAGTAGACAAAGGTATCCCCATTTGAACATTTGTGACTTCGTTGTAGTTGCCAGCATTGCAGCCCAACCTCTTTAACCCTTTTCATCAGACAACGTGTTTAACTATTCAGATATTTGTAGTTCCTATTGTATTCAATTAGTGACCGTGGGTAGTATGCTTATCGGTGACTATCTCTAGAATGCAGAAGACAAGTTCCAGCTATGCTGAAATAGTTTCACCTTGCCCCTAACTTTGAACACACATTTTGGTTTTGTGGTCGGATACTTAGATGTCTACCGTGACACATATGAAGACCGGGTCTCCACCCAACACTCATAAAACCCCTCTTAGTTCTTCAAGCTGCTCATATACACTAAGACATTACAGGCGCTCTTTTGTTTTTAAGCGTGCATACGGCAACGAACACCCGAACG